GTACAAAAAATTACAAAATAAAATGCAATACATATGTCAAATGAGTGCTGCTAAATGAATCCTAAAACTAATTGAGTACACCCTACTACCAAACTATGTATTGAATTACTTATTTACCCTAATATAAAATGACTAAACAGGATATATTGAATTGTGAAACTAATATAATTTTAATAAGTACACCCAACTCACCATATCCAACTCTAATCAAACCTAGAGAAGTTTTCGTATTACTTGGTGTCGAAGGCGAACAATGCAGCGAGCATTGGCAGTGGTGCAAATAGGTGTTGTTGAATGTTTGTTCCTTTGCCCCTTCCTTTGCCGACCAATAGCCCTCTATTGCTGCCCAACAACTCATCCATTAGACATGAAGGTTAAAGAAATTATTAAGATACCAAATCTGAAAGTGGAAGACCATCTAACTATTTATATCATTGAAGTTATTAGTTGGATCTAAAGTTCAAATATAAGAAGACATTTGGGAATTAGTTTTCATTTGAATCAAGATTGCAGTACCTATTAGACCCAGTCGAACCAGTTTGAACAAATTCGTTATTTGAAGACTAAATCAAAACCCCATTGAGATGAGAAAAAAAAAAAAAAAAAAAGAATTTGCAGAACAAATAAAAACTCATATTTGTTCAAATTGACTTCTTTTAATGTGAAAAACAAAAACTTTAGAAGAAATTAAAATATGACGTGGCAAATGAGATGTGATATAGTGTATATAAAGGAAGCTGTAATTTCTCCTCCACTACAGCCGTATCACAATAAAATAAAATAGCTGCCTGCTATTAGTTTACTTTCCTTGTATGTATTGTTGACTTAGAGTATTCAATTGTAATTTATTTTCTTTCCTTCTTATATACAGAAATCTCTGTATATATGTTAAGGGTGTTGCCCACTCAAAGTACCAATCGAAAATATATTTTCCTACATGGTACCAGAGCCCTATTAGCTCCTTCGAGTGTTTTTTTTCTCCCCCACCCAGCCCACGCTTGTCTTTCTCTACCTTTTCTTCCCCCTTCTTCATGGCTTCAGATAACAGCACCTCTGATGTCGTTCTTACCCCTAACTCCAACAATAGTTCTTCTCCTTCTCTCATCACTATCAACGCTGCTGCCCAGCTTCCTCTCAAACTCACCCCTCTCAACTATCCCTTCTGGCGTGCCCAGTTCAAAGCCCTTCTCCTTAGGTATGACCTCCTTAGCTATGTGGATGGCATTCTCACCTGCCCTGCCAGCAACAATAGCTTTTGAAAATGTCAAGATCAACTCCTTCTCCACGCCATTCTTGCCTCTGTCTCAGAATCTGTCATCTCCCTTATTGCTGCTGCCTCAACCTCTAAAGCCGCTTGGGACAAACTTACCAAGCTATATGCGAACCGTACCCGCTCTCGAGTCATGAGTCTCAAGGACCGTCTCACTCTTGCTCGCCGTGATTCCAAGCCCGTGATGGAATTTCTTCAATCCATCAAAGCCCTTGCTGAAGAACTTGCTCTAATTGATTCTCCTATATCCGATGATGATCTTGTGATCTATATCCTCAACGGTCTCGGCTCTGACTTCAAAGAGATCGCTGCTGCCATCCGTGCTCATGAAACACCTATCACCTTTGAAGAGTTGCATGATAAGCTCGTTGACTTTGAGAGCGCAATCAAGTGCCATGACACTCCTCCTGAACCTCTTGTTGTCACTGCCAATAATACCCAGCGCACCACCTCCAACCGTTCCTTCCACAAGGGTTCTTCCACATCTCATGGCTATAGGCCACCTTCTCAGCAACGTGGCATTCTTAGCCCCGGCAACTCTTCCCCGCACACTTCCCGTCCATTCTCTGGACAACGTCGCTATTTCAATCAACCAGGTCATGGTTACAAAGGTTTTTGTCAATTGTGTGATCAGCAAGGTCACAGTGCCAAACGGTGTTCACGTGCTCAGGTTTTACCCTCCTCTGATCCCACTGTGAACGTTGCTACTGCCCCTCATACCGCCACCAATTGGCTCATTGACTCTGGCGCTTCTCATCATGTGACCCTTAATCTCACCAACCTTGCTCTCCACACCAATTATGAAGGTCCTGACTCAGTTGTGATTGGTAATGGTTCAGGCATGGGCATCACCCATGTTGGCTCCACCTCTCTTCCTACCTTCTCTCGTGCATTTGCCTTACATGATGTTCTTTGTGTGCCATGTATTAAAAACAATTTAATTTCTGTCTTTCAATTTTGCAAATCTAATCACACTTCTGTTGAATTTTTTCCCTCTTATTTTCCTGTCAATGATCTGCGCACGGGGTCGACTCTCCTTCAAGGCCCGAATAAAAATGATGTGTACATGCGGCCCAGGTCAATGCTTCACGTCTCCTCACCTTCTGCACTTGTTAGTACGGCTTCTACCCTGCATGACTGGCATAGTCGCCTTGGCCACCCTTCTCAACCTGTCTTGGATCAGCTCATCCGTTCAATCTCTCCCTGTCACTTCAAAGTCATCTGTTCAGTCTCCCTGTGTCGTGTCAATGCAATAAGAGCCATAAGCTCCCTTTTCATTTAAATTCTCTTTCTAGTCAGCGTCCTCTAGATCTTATCTATATTGATGTCTGGGATCCTACTCCCCTTCTCTCAATTGATGGTTTTCGCTATTATCTAATTTTTGTCGATCATTACACCAAATATGTTTGGTTTTACCCTCTTAAAAACAAGTCAGCTGATGTCTCTACAATTTTTCCCACTTTTAAAAATCTTGTTGAAAATTACTTTCCCTCCAAAATTGTTTCTCTGTATTCTAATGGTGGTGGTGAATACACAAAACTTAAACCTTTTCTCACCTCCCATGGCATTACTCATCTCACCACACCTCCCCACCCCTCAGCATAATGGCTCTGCTTCACCAAGCTTTTATGCCCCCACTTTGTTAAGACTGGCCTTACCCTCCTTCACCAAGCTTCTATGCCTCCACTTTATTGGTCTTATGTCTTTCAAGCTGCTGTATATCTCATAAATCGACTTCCTACTCCTCTCTTTAAATCATCTTCCCCATACACATCTCTTTTTGGTCAAACACCGAACTACCATAAACTTCGTATTTTTGGTTGCAAATGTTTTCCGTGGTTACGACCTTACAATACCCATAAACTCCAACCTCGCTCTCGTCCTTGTGCCTTCCTTGGCTACTCAACCACTCAAAGTGCTTACAAGTGTCTTGACCTATCCTCCAATCGTCTTTACCTCTCTCGTCCTGTTTTTTTTAATGAGTCTATTTTTCCTTTTGCCTCTCATGTCTCACCTTTCTCCTCTGTCTCTCATCCCGATGTCCATGTGTGGTCGGTCGCAGCTGATCCAGGACCCATTGCTGACCCTCCTCCAGCGCCGCCAGCCGTGCCTTCTGCCGTTACAGCCATGCAACTTGCCCCTGCCACCATGTCCCCTGCCCCTGCAGCACCAGTGCAAGCTCTTGTTGCACCGATGCTTGCCTAATGTACACATCATTCTTCTTCCTTCTTGGGTGAGTCCTCTTTCGTGGCCCCCCTTTCTCTCATATCTCATCCTCCTCTCCTCCTTCTTCAGAAGCTCCCACTCCTTCATTGCCCTCCCCTCCACCACCTCATCCCCCTTCTCGTGTTGTTACCCGTTCCCAAAATAATATTTTTAAACCTAAACATCTTCACACCACCACTAAACAGTCCACTACCCAACATCCCTTTCCCCCCACCCTTGAACGTACCTGTGTTTCTCATGCCATCAAAGACAGCAAGTGGCGTTTTGCCATGTCCGATGAGTTTACTGCTTTGGTCCGGAATGGCACTTGGGAGCTTGTTCCCTCTCGCCCTAATCAAAATTCAGTTGGGTGCAAGTGGGTGTTTCTCATCAAGCGTCATCCTATGAAACCTTCAGTCCAGTGGTCAAACCCACCACTATACGGGTTGTCCTCCACCTTGCCCTTGCTCGTGGCTGGCCCATCTGGCAACTTAATGTTAATAACGCTTTTCTTCATGGAACTCTTCACGAGGAAGTATTTATGTCTCAACCTCCTGGTTTTGTTGATTAAGCTTATCCTTCTCATGTGTGCAAGCTCTGCAAGGCCCTTTATGGCCTTAAACAAGCACCCAGGGCGTGGTACAAGGAGTTGAGCTCCTTCTTGGTTTCTTATGGTTTTCATCACTCTAAATCTGATGCTTCTCTTTTTGTTTATCACCATGGTTCTATTGTGGCTTACTTTCTTGTCTATGTCGATGATCTAATTGTGACTGGCAGTGATAGGTTGTTCATCGCCAAATTTCTTGATACTCTTGCTCAACACTTCTCTCTCAATGACTTGGGTTCTCTACATTTTTTCCTGGGTGTTGAAGTTATTCCTACACGATCGGGCTTGTTCTTATCACAGCACAAGTACATCCAGGATCTTCTCATCCGTGCTCACATGGAAGGTGCCAAGAATGTTTCAATGCCCTTATCTACCACCCCTGCCCTTGTGCTCAACGATGGTGCAACCCCCACTAATGCCACTCTTTTTCGCAGTCTTATTGGTGGTCTCCAATATCTAAGTCTTACCCGTTCGGACATTGCCTTTGCAGCTAACAAATTCTCTCAATTCATGCACCGACCTTCTGAACTTCATTAGGCTGCTCTCAAACGCCTGCTCCGCTATCTCCAAGGCACCATTTATCATGGTCTTCATCTTCATCGCAACACCACTTTCTCTCTCTCTTCATGCCTTCTCTGATACGGATTGGGCTAGCAATCCTGACGATCGCACATCCACCACTGCTTATACCATTTTTCTTGGTGGCAATTTGATCTTATGGAGTTCCCGCAAACAACGCTCTGTTGCTCGCTCCTCTACTGAAGCCAAGTATCGTGTTGTTGCTTGCACGCTGCCGAGCTCTCCTAGTTACAAAATTTACTTCGTGAACTGGGTGTTTCGCTTCCTTCACCCCCTGTTATTGCCTGCGACAACATTGGTGCTACATTTTTCTGTGCAAATCATGTTCTCCATTCCCGCATGAAACATATTGCCATTGATCTTCACTTTGTTCGTGATCTTGTCACTCAAGGCCTTCTCAAGGTCGCTCATGTTTCCACTATTGATCAGTTAACCGATGCCTTGACGAAACCTCTTTCTCTCCAGCACTTCCATTTACTTCGTTCCAAGATTGGAGTCACCGACAACGGCTTCATCTTGTGGGGGCGTATAAGGGAAGCTGTAATTTCTCCTCCACTACAGCCGTATCACAATCAAATAAAATAATTGTCTGCTATTAGTTTACTTTCCTTGTATGTATTGTTGACTTAGAGTATTCAATTGTAATTTATTTTCTTTCCTTTTTAGATATAGAAATCTCTGTATATATGTTAAGGGTGTTGCCCACTCAAAGTATCAATTGAAAATATATTTTCCTACAGTGTATTAGGGTTTACCAAGGGTATTTTTGGTAGTAAATAGGGTGTACTTTGTTAATTTTACATTTTTATTTAAATATTATGGTGCATTTAAATCATAGAATGTACTCAATTAATTTTAGGATTCGTTTAGCTTCACATGATTTGCCATAAACCATGCTAATATAATCCCATCCAAAACCCACATGTATTCCTTCCTTCCCAACAAATAAAGCAGAACCCTTCCTTTTCTCACTTCTTTACTTTTCTCTCTTTCAGAACTACCAAATAGAAGGGAAAAAAAAAAGTGGAAAAAAAAAAAGACAAAAACCCTTTTTCACGCCTACAGCTACTAACTTTCCTCTCTAATCCTATCCTATTTGGTTCACAGAATGGATTTGAGGGGAAATCACTTCCCATGTCATTTCCCAAGGGATGTGAAAAAGAGATTCATTTCACATGTTTAGTAACCCTGGTAAAGTAACCAAGAAATACCACTTTATTTCCTTTCACATGTTTGGTTTGTGTAGGAATGTAAGACAAAGTTCGTTTAATTTTCCAATTATACCCATATGAAATCAAATAAAAAAAGGGTTAACTGGTGATTTGCCCCTTGAACTTGTACTTAGCTTTCAATTCACCCCTATCCTTTTTTGTAGAAAATTAAGGATATGAACTTCTTCTTTTTTGGCCAATTTCCCCCTACCTTCTAAATTCTCAACATTTCATCTAATTTTCAGTTAAATCATTTTAAAAAATTATTATTTTTGGATAAAATTGAAGAAAAAGAGTAAACCTAATGCCAACCCCTTCCATCTCCTCCCTTCCTCCTCCCATTCCCCCATGACCACCATCTTTTACTCCTAGCTGCCGAGCCCAGCCTACCACCCCCCATTTCTCCAGACTAAATCATCAACCTGAAGCTTTCTCACCTTCTTGTCATATGATCTCTTCACTTTCATCTGATAGTTCTTTAATCGTGCCAATGCCCGATTTCTAAATTCCTCTGCAAGATCCAAATCTCGTGATAATAGCTCATCATTCTTACATGAGTCAGCAACAAATGTAAGCAGAGTGGGGATTTCCATCTCTAGAGGAAGAATTGTTGCAAACCCAAAAGTCGGAGAGTAAGGGGATTCTCCCCGCCCTTGGGTTTTCTTCTCCACCCATTCCCCATGTGACCATAACCCTTCACCCTCAGACCAATCCTCTCGCCCCCCACCCATAGAACCCAGCCTACACCTGCACAGAGAAAGAGAGAGAGAGAGAGAGAGAGAGAGAGAGAGAGAGAGAGAGAGAGAGAGAGAGAGAGTATTATTTGAATTTTCTGGTTTTTATTTATTTTTAATGTACAAAATGACCATTTTGCCCTCATATTTAACGGCAAATTGGATGAAATGTTGCAGATTTAGAAGGTAGGGGGGAAATTGGTGAAAAAAAAAGTCATATCCTTAATTTTCTAAATAAATAAAAAAGGATAAGAGGTAAATCGAAAGTTAGATACAAATTCACAGGGCAATTCACCAGTTAACCCAATAAAAAAATAATGCATTTAATGCTATATTGTAATTCTAAATTGTTAATAGGTACAATATGGCTATGAAAAATGTGTATATGTTGGTTCATTTTCCCAAACTTTTCCATGATGAGGAAAACAAAACCCAATGGAGGAGGAGAGCTTCACTTTCCCCCCTACTTTCCCACGTGCAAGGCAACGATTTCCCATGACTGGACTTACCAAATATGGGAAAGCAATTGATTTTCCATCTCCAAACCTCATTTTCTATGAACCAAACGGAGCAATACCAGCCAGATTCCATGTGATTTTCAATTCCTCTGCTTCCCGTTTCTTCCTCTGTATTCTATTTTACCCTTTTCATCTTTTACTCAAAAATAGCTGTCATGTCATATTATATAGGCTTCTAAAATGAACAAAACGAGCAGTAGGCGACCATGCCAATTCCATTTTCAATACCATGTGCATGCCTACGAACGATCTGGTGCTCGATATAAAGATTTTGAAACAGATCAATCTCTTTTATTTTCCTTTTTTCTCATAAGCAATTTGTGCGTATCACAGGAACGTGTATCGAATATTGCCTATGACCTTGAAAATGGCAAGTGCTCTCCGGTTAAAGATCAATATGCGCGGGTTTACATTACCATTGGAGATGGAGGGAATATTGAAGGCTTGGCAACCAAGTAAGCTCATGATCTATTTATGGTCCACTGTTTTCCTATTTGTTAGCATTGCATACTTTAACCTACGAATTTTTTTTGTTTTCTGGTGAAGTGTGAGGGAGCCACAGCCAGCTTACTCAGCTTATAGAGAGGCCAGTTTTGGTCATGCCATTTTCAACATCAAGAACCGAACTCATGCCTTCTACGGTTGGCTCGATGATGGAGTTGCAGTAAAAGCCGATTCTATGTGGCTTTTCAACAGATAGCATCAATTGTCACTGACTCATACATTCTCGGTGGAGTCTCCCGGATTTCTCATGCAGACTCAATGTCTACAACTGAAACTAGTACCTTATCCTTGACCATCCTGTTGATGATTCTACAAGTTCCCAATCATGATTGGAAAAGAAACATTTTGTTGCTCTTGTTTTCTAGAATAAATTCAGATGTATATCTTAATAAGTAACCCAATATTTTCTGTGGATGTAGTTAGGCTTAAGGTTGATTCATATGAATGCTTAAGTTTTTTTGGTCTCTCTATATTTCTACCATTTGGTCCCCTAGCAAACTAATATGGGAGCATAATATAATAGGTCTATGCAACGTCCCTCTCACACTAATCGTCCGTCACCAATACATTAGAAGTTTATCGAAACATTCGTATGTGAAATATGTTTTGATATGTGTACCTCATTTCCACCAGCAATCGAAATATTCGTGTGAAATCTGTTTTGATATGTGAGAAGAAAAATATCATTAAACTGATAACAAGTTGAATTTTGTTATTTAAATTTCACATAGCCATTTCTAAATAGAAAAAAAAAAAACAAACAGAAAACTTCAGTTCAACTCAACTAACATCATCTTGTCTTCTATAATAATGGATGAAAAATAATGGACCGCACTGTATGCAAGTAGAAGGTGAAATATTACTTCAACTCAACTAACATCAACTTATCTTCTATAATACATTTTATATTTATGTGCTGCTGCTCTGCCCTTATCCCATCATTATTATGTTCCCCGGATACAACCCAATTTGTGGTGCAAATCCCACCCAGTAACACGCAATTCTTAATGCAAATCCCACCCAGCAACACGCAATTCTTAATGCAAATCCCACCCAGCATTTAATATTCCCCTCATTTTATGAAAATCATTTTGTTTTCATTACTAGGAAACTCATTTCAAGTCTATAAAACATGGCCTAAGCTCAGTAGGCTGTCTGTGGATTTGTGGGTTTTGAGGGTCCTCTGTAAAACATGGCCAAGATGGGTTTGGTGAGCTTAGCTTCTGCATCTACTTCTTCCAGGGTAGCAGCAGCCATTGTTGTAGTGTTGGGTTTGGTTTTGAGCTTGGCAGTGGTGTGTAATGGAGGCAAGACAAGTAGTTTTGTGAGGAAAGTGGAGAAATCTGGGGTCATGCCTCTTGACAGTGATGTCTTTAAAGTCCCTCCTGGCTATAACGCACCTCAGCAAGTATGATCTCTATTTCTCTGTCAGTATAATATAGACAACTTTTAGTCTCTTTTTTTTTAGTCAATTGTAGCACAAGGTAGTTATTTCTGTTGAAGAATATAAAGTACAAACATGACTAAATAAATTACAACATATAAGTGCAAGGGTCTTTTGTGATAAAACTTCACACCTACTGGTGTTACTAATAGTCTGCCATTAGCCTGTTCCTCTGAAATTTAACATCGTAGCAAAGCAGGCCGGTTTCATGGGCCCAATTTAACCCGAATCAAACAACAAACTCCAAAATTGAAACCCCGAATTGAACCCGAGTCAAACAAACCCTGAAAGTGAAGGATCCGGATCCTTTGCTTAGATGTTTCTCTGTTATGATATGCTTGACTTTTCTTCCACACACACGTCACCTTCTTAAAATTTAATCTAAGGGACAATAATATTGTCACATCACACAAAACTCAAATCCCTCACAATTTTTGTTTTGAAAAAATAAAATTCCTAAACCTAACATGAGTTAACATATTGCATCCGTTAGTCTCTCTTCTTTTTTTCCCAAAGCCGTTAGTCTCTCTTATCCCCTATTATTATTTATGTTTTAAATTTCTCTCTTTCTTCCAAAGACACAGATATCTTCCCCACGTCTCGATCTTAGTCCTCTTCTACTAAACTCTTCATAGAAACAAACACAAATTCAGTCACGACAATTGTTCTCAACAAACACAATTCAGAAATTGCAGACATGGTTTAGCCAAGTTAGTTAGAGTGGATGTGCAGTTTAGATTTGATTAAAGTAGAATATCGCTTGTATAAAAATTAAAATTAAAACCCATTATTTTAATAAAATAATGGGTTAGTAGAGAAGTAAAGATTTCTCCAGGCTATTCATTATCTCCAAGAAAAATAGATGCAGCCAACTGTGCACACTATTCTCTTTGTAAAGTATTGATATTTTGGTTCAGAGGTTTTTATTCATATTTCATATTGAGAGAGGGTTTGTTATATGAAATTTATACCATAGTTTCAGGATGAAATTTTGGGCATTGGCAAGTAGATTATGAGGTTGGAATAGAGAGGTTTATTGTTCACATAGACTTTGGGAGAAGGGAGAGTGTACTGAGATGCTGAGAAAAAAAGGAAAAAATAAATTGAAGGATCACGTTAACTCAAGTTAGTTCAATTAGTGAATTGTTTTTTCTTCTTTTCATAAAATAAAAATTGTAAGGTATGGGTTTGTATGTAATGTGTCAACATTAAAGCCCTATGATGAAATTTTAATGAGGTCGCACGTGGAAAAGTAACGGATTTAAACACAGAATTTAACATTTTATTTGTAAATTTCTCTTTTTTAGAATTTAAAAGTACAAAGGAATTCATAAATGATTAAATTTAAAAGTACAAAGGAATTCATAGATGATGGAATTTAAAATTACAGAAATTAATGTTTTAGAATTTGTAAAGTTTCTTGTTTGGTTAACGGAATTAAACACATGATTTAACTTTTATTTGTAAAGTTTTTTTTTTTTTCTTTCAAGCTCAATTTCTTTGGGAATTTTAGAAATGACTATTTAGATAGAATTTAAAGTTGGGATTTATGATCTCCAATTCCATGTTTTTTTCCCATGCAGAATTTCTAAATATATCTTTGTTTTGTTATCCAAACACAGGAATTGGTATATGTCAATTTAGAAATTCTGGATTTTATTAAAATCCCAAGTTTATTCCCTCATCCAAACGCACCGTAAAAACCCTAAATGTGGCTTTTTATTGTTGAAAATTTATGGCTTACTTCATAATTTGCTCTTCTTCTTTTTTAGGGATTAATAGGTGTAGTTTGAAGTGATTTAATTTAATTTTGAAATGTGATCTTTGATTTAAGGTACATATAATACAAGGAGACCAGCTGGGAAAAGCAGTGATTGTGTCATGGGTCACGGTGGACGAACCAGGTTCCAATACAGTGGTTTATTGGAGCGCAAAGGGCGTGAAAGAGATGGCTGTGGGCGAAGTTACAACCTATAAATTCTACAATTACACTTCTGGTTACATTCACCACACCATCATCAGCAATTTAAATGTAAACTTGATATGCTCTTATGTTTTGCCTCATTTCTTTTTCCTTCAAATGCATAGGTCGTGGACTCTGAATGAGAAACACTCGGTTTTGCAATTTTCGGATTGAAATGATGAATGCAGTCTAAGTATAATTTACAAATTGTATTGTGATCTAATCCTATATATTCTTGTACAGTTCGATACCAAATACCACTATGTGGTTGGAATTGACCACACTAAGCGGCAGTTCTGGTTTATTACTCCTCCTGAAGTTGGGCCGGACGTCCCTTATACATTTGGTCTCATAGGTGAGTTTTCTGTATAGAACAGGATGTGCATATTAGATCTGGTTCAACTTTTGGCATTGGGATTCAAAGGGAAATCTCATGACATTGACTAGCTTAGGTTGCAATGAGCCTCTTCCTTTCATGTTAAAAGATATGTGAAACCAAATTAGAGTTCTTTATCTTATGAAACTTGTTCCTTAGTGTGCAAGTCTGTCATTTGAAACAGTTTTCCTTAACTTGGGAATTACGTAATCGATGATACGCAATTGTCTGTGTTTGTGAAATGTAAATTGTTCCGCTCTGATGTACTTGGGTATCATTTTCAGGTGATCTGGGTCAGACCTATGATTCGAATGCGACGCTTACTCATTATGAATTAAACCCACAGAAAGGACAAGCAGTATTGTTTGTTGGGGACCTCTCTTATGCAGATCTCTTCCCAAATCATGATAATGTCAGGTGGGATACATGGGGAAGATTCACCGAGAGAAGTGTTGCTTATCAACCTTGGATATGGACAGCAGGGAATCATGATATTGATTTTGCCCCAGAAATTGTAAGCATCTCTTGATACATTTGTTTGCTCTAGAAAGTGAGCTTATATTCTCATTTTCCATTTCTTGTCTTCGATATATAAGATCATTAAATTTGCATTTATATAATCTGTCTTCAGCATGATTTCTATACGCATGTGTGTAGTGTAATGTTCTACTTCTGTGTATCTTGTATTTTACAAAATTTAAGGCAATATTTGCTGCTCATTTCGTAAAAAAGTCATTGGATGAAGTATTTTTTCCAAAAGGAAGTTTGGAATTTTTGTTGCAGGGTGAAACCGAACCTTTTAAGCCTTACACTCACCGGTATCCTGTCCCACATAATGCATCAGGGAGTACCTCCCCCCTTTGGTACTCAATCAAGAGAGCTTCAGCATACATCATAGTCTTATCTTCTTATTCAGCATATGGTAAGGTTATATATATATGTTCTGATTAATATATTGACATCGTACAAAAGGCTTATGCACATATGCAGCAGAAGATACTGTTTCAAAATTTCCTTTTCTGAAAATCAAATGCATAACTTTTCTGGATGCTCCTTGCATTTTTTACATCAGCTCCTCTTTCGCTCCTTTTTATACTGAATTTTTGCGTGGTTTTGGAGGTTGGAATCCCCAATAACGTGAAATTGTTCTCTCTTGTTTTCATGGATTTTTACAGTAGTATATTGTTGTATTCATCTCTGCAAATGACATCATGTAAATTCTTTATTAGAACATTAGTACTGATTGCTCAAATTATACCCTAGTGATATTCTGTAATGACTGTGTTTTAAAATGATAGAATTTTTCTTCCAAGATTATCATGTACACCGACTTGAATTTCCTTTTCTCCACGGAATGTCTAATCAATTTCTTAACTCTGTGCATAGGTCACATTTACCGTGTCTATGTTAAACCAAGTCCTTCAAGAATTTCATTTACATATCATTTCCTTTTTTAAGGTAAATACACTCCTCAGAACAGATGGATTGAGGAGGAGCTACCAAAGGTTAACAGAAGTGAGACATCATGGTTGATTGTTTTAATGCA